TTCATAAGTGCGTATTCTATGCCTGGAGTAAATATTACCAACTTATCAGAAATCGACTTTGAGTTGCCATCAGACCTCTTGCTCCTAACTAATGAATAATATGTTAGATTAGATTAGAGTAGATATAGCCTTTATGTATGTAAATATTCATTTGTTTTATGAATGCTTGCAGTTGATAAGTTGATTTTGAGTAAGCGTTTAAAAAACGTTTTAGTTCCTTTAAGAGTTTATAATTCATCTTTCTTTCATCTTCCTACAATGCAAATACACAAAGTCAGCCTGCACCATCTAAACTGTAAAATGTACTTTAGCTGAGGAAAAATATTCCGACAACCTTCTGTTTATACATATGTATATACACATATGTATGCATCTATCTGGTTACTAAACGAGGACCCAAACGTTAGAGAGGTTGCAGGCAGTTTTGCACACACAATAGCGCATACCAACACTCACAGTATTATTTATATATATATATATATTCCTGGAAAAAAGTGAATATGCTTTCCTGAAGCAGTACTTGAATTTAGACACGAGCTACAGAGAATAAGCGCAAAAATGAAATCAGATATTCAAAAATGGTTTAATTGTGATCAGAGGAATCATTCAATGTTAATTGGAATGCTAACTTTTAGTATTGACCATGTAGCCCAGACTGTATTGTTTGCATTTGCACGAGTTATTAGGAGAGTCTGATTGGTGGCTCAGGGAAGGCAGAAGGGACATTGTCGATAGGTTTAAAAACAATTTTCAGTGGCCAATGAAACTCGACTGCAGGTAGAAACTTTTAACTTTCGCTGAATACCTGCTACCTGCCACCTGCCTCCACCTGGCATCAATAATTTCTCCCATGTTTGAAGCATCATAATAACAACAACAACAACAACAGTAACAAAAAGCAAGCAAATCAGCAATTATAGCTACAGTCAATGGTTTCATAGTAGGAATTGCGTCGCAGCAGCGCAGTCGGCGCCAAACTACAGCCGCTAAATGGAGCACAGGCACTGGCAGCGCAGTCGATGTTACCGTTGCAGAAAACGCTAGAAGGAGATGGCGTGGCAGTTGTAATAATAACGCTAGTTTTTTCTTCTTAGCATAAAAAACAACAAAGCGATGCACTAGCCATTATGAAACGGTAAATATTTTCTGTTCCTTTTTATGCTGCTCTTCGGCTCAGCGAACCTCTGGCTAGACACTGCTTCTAGACCGCGGCTAATTTAGCTCTCTGTTTTCTTGTTCTTGTTCTTGTTCTAGCTTGAAAAACAAATGTTGTATCGCATGCCTTTAGCTGCTGCTTTAAAATGTATTTTATGTTGGCTTACAAGAGAGGCGTACATAATACAAAAGGGCGTGAAAGCTGTATGCCCTATATAAAATATTTATAAATTCGGATAACTTAAGTCAGCTTAGTACAGCCCTGACTGGACGTATCATCCACAATAATGCTAGATGAAATACAAATACCAAACATTACCTAGGCTAGAAGTCAACAGCAAGACACAGAAAATAATTGGCAGTTTGCTTTGAGATTACTCTTGGGGACTTGGATATTGGTGACTGCGTGGCTGCAAGGAATGGCCTCAGTCTTAGTTTGGACTGCAACTGCTGATGGATGTCTCCGGGGCCAAACATCAAACCAAATTAGCAGTTTCTAGTAAAGCCAGAATGCGGAATGCGGAATGCGAAATGCGAAATGTGTATTTCGTGCGCCAAGGCACAATAGAGATTGACGACTAACTGACAGACAGATGTATAGCTATGCTTATGCTGCTTATGTGCGTCGGTCAGTCAGATTGCCTGGCAGGCTGTCCCGCCAGGAAAAGAGTGAATAAAGAGCGTCTCAATGTAACGTAAGCTTGTGTGAAAGAGAGACGGAGAGAGGCACACAGATAGAGAGTAGCGGGCGCACTATGCATGCGAGTGTGCGTGAGTGTGCGTCAGTGTGTGTGTGTGCTTTGGAGTGGTTGCGTTTGATGTGCAAAGTGCGTATAATGTTTGAAAATCTCCATAAAACATGCAATAAAAGCGAAAGAGCTATGGCAAAGAGCACAGGAGCCACCTTCTGTAGGCGGAGCTAAGTAAAATTTGTTTCTCATAATGGAAAAATGCAAGATCCACATTAAAGCATAACAAGCAAATGTCTAACGAACCACTCTAAGTAGCACATGTATTTTGTATTAGTGTTCTAATTCAATATTTCAGAACAATGTGGACAAAGTTAATTTACACTTTTAATTACTTTATAATGCCAATAAATTGTTGTTGGTATATAAGGTCAATAACAACCTAAAATTTATTTGCAGCTTGAGTTCCCTACTGATCGACATCATATCATCATTACGATAAGTCATGACTACAGCCGTGGTATTCTGACTCCGCCAGAAATGACTGTTGAGTCTCTTTGAGCTCCAATTATATAAAAAATATCAGGATTCTTCAATAGTTTCGATATATTTTTATTCATATTTATTCAGTCATCGAAGTTCTTAAATCGCGATTTCTTTATCACCTCCACACATATTTTCACTCATTTCCATTCTTAGTTAGACAGAAGGCTACAGTTTTTTACTGCTACAACATAGATATATAAATATTTATGGTGACAAAATGCAGCTTTCTCGATTACGATAAGTCCTGCCGCGTTATATGCTTTACACTTTCTGCGCGTGGAGCACATTTAGCGAGTTATCTATTTTATAGTTTGAGAAAAATAATTATTTGATTCGAAATTGATTTTTGGTTTGATAACTCTGTCCATATTTGATGTTCAAAAGCATTCCTTTTTATATAACTTTCAAAATTAAAAAGATTTCATTTTAAGTCCATAAATCCTCTTGATTTTCTTTCAGAGGAGCTGATCCGTCAGTACGATTGTTTTATAGAAAAGTAACGTCTGAGTAATTAAACGAGCTAGTAATTTTCCTGACTTACTGAAACATACGAAACATACATATAGCGAACCTTTACCATCAATATATAAATGAAGATACCACATTTAGAATCTGTACCATATATAGAATCTGTACCATATATAGAATCTTTTATATACTCGGTATTTTTCAGTTGATCCCTCCCGATGGCTGGGTTGAGGACTCTTCGTTGTTTTCAGAAACCAACTTTCGAGTCGGAGCTCTGTATAAAATGTATTTCCGATTCCACTCTCCTTGCCACAAACTGCATTTCAATGCAGATTAACGGAACAGCTGCAAGGACAATCGCTTTATTCCATCAGCAGCTCCTCTCCGTTGGCCCACAGCCACTGACTACTTTACACTAGGCGTTCTTAATGACATTATCTGAGTATGAGCAACTCTCCTGTGGATTGCATGAGGTGTTTTACTCCTTTCAGCATCATCTGCTGCTGGCTGTTGCGTTCAGTTTAATTTTCTCATTATGCAAATTTATGTGACCGAGCGTCGATTTTTTGCAAAAGACTTATCTTCCTTTAAATTTAAATGTATATATACATATATAAATAGCTAAATTACTAAGAACATAGAATTTAAGGCTAAGTATGGAATGTTATTAAATCGCTACATTATATTAGAGTTAGATTAGAGGATAGAGGAGAGAGGATAGAGGATAAATGAAAGAGGATAGACGATAGAGAATAAAGGATAAAGGATAGAGGATAGGGGATAGAGGATACAGGATAGAGGATAGAGGATAGAGGATAGAGGATAGAGGATAGAGGATAGAGGATAGAGGATAGAGGATAGAGGATAGAGGATAGAGGATAGAGGATAGAGGATAGAGGATAGAGGATAGAGGATAGAGGATAGAGGATAGAGGATAGAGGATAGAGGATAGAGGATAGAGGATAGAGGATAGAGGATAGAGGATAGAGGATACAGGATAGAGGATAGAGGATAGAGGATAGAGGATAGAGGATAGAGGATAGAGGATAGAGGATAGAGGATAGAGGATAGAGGATAGAGGATAGAGGATAGAGGATAGAGGATAGAGGATAGAGGATAGAGGATAGAGGATAGAGGATAGAGGATAGAGGATAGAGGATAGAGGATAGAGGATAGAGGATAGAGGATAGAGGATAGAGGATAGAGGATAGAGGATAGAGGATAGAGGATAGAGGATAGAGGATAGAGGATAGAGGATAGAGGATAGAGGATAGAGGATAGAGGATAGAGGATAGAGGATAGAGGATAGAGGATAGAGGATAGAGGATAGAGGATAGAGGATAGAGGATAGAGGATAGAGGATAGAGGATAGAGGATAGAGGATAGAGGATAGAGGATAGAGGATAGAGGATAGAGGATAGAGGATAGAGGATAGAGGATAGAGGATAGAGGATAGAGGATAGAGGATAGAGGATAGAGGATAGAGGATAGAGGATAGAGGATAGAGGATAGAGGATAGAGGATAGAGGATAGAGGATAGAGGATAGAGGATAGAGGATAGAGGATAAAGGATAGAGGGTAGACGATAGAGGATAGAGGTTAGAGGATGCTGTTTTGAAAGTAAATATATTTGATGTTTTCTGTTGTTTTGTTGAAAAAAAGAATTTTAGTTGAGCTACAGAAAATTCACAGGTGTTATTGGTTTCGCAATGGTTTCCTTGTTTGTTACCTACTATGCCTTGTGTTTCCTGCTATGCCTTGTGTGCCTATGCAATGAATCATACTCCGATTCATTTCAAGAAATATTCACAGTAAAAGCCAAAGAATTATTTGAAGCGAATGAAATTAATTGAACTTTTATTTTTACATATGTTTGAGATGCAATTTATATATTTATATTTCAGAATATATATTTATATATAAATAGAAAAAATAAAAGAACAGCTCTATTAAGTAAAACGATATTTCTATGTAACTAGTTAAACGCGAACCAATTAACAGGTATTTTTCTGTGTCATTTCTAGACATGAGTATACTAATAATGGCATCGATTTGGTCCAAAGTATATGCTTTCGAATAGTCTCTCCGTCTTAATCGGACGATATATATAAATATATATAGATTGTTGCGCCTTTTTGTGCTTCACAGAAACGTTTTCAGTAGCGCTATATAAGAGCCGGTTGTGCTAAGTATCTGTAATTGATATATTCATAAATAGAGTACTTTTATTATCATTTACGAGTCGTACCGAACTGAAGGCGGGCAGCGAAGGGGTAAAGAACGGCACGGCAATTGTTTTCTCCCGCTGCGAGCGCCGCAAGATCATTAAGATCATTTTTCTAGTCCTCACATCGCATTTGTACCATGCAACGTCATAGAGCGTCCCAGCCACAGACAAGCTCTATAAGAAATAAGGACTGATTGAAGAAATAAGCTAGCCAAGAAAAGTCGATATATCTTAATAAAAAGCCAGCAGTTCTCTAGGCAAGACTACCCGACTATGAGATATCCTGAACCCTTATGCAGATCTGCTAATCTAATCATTTCACGCTTCTTCCATCCTTCATACATGACAAGCCAGTAGCAGACTCTAATGGCCAGCCACGCTAATGAGTTTGACTATGACAAATTATTATTGAATAATTTTATTTCTTAATTTTCTTTTCAGAGTGTGATAATGACTTCCAGATGTGGGTTTTTTTAGCTTTGTGGAACGGGGAGAGCGGTATCCATAGTACTGCTACGACTCCTTCTGCCTATGGCATGCCTTACAATGGATTCAGGGTTAGAAATTTTGATAACTAAGATATGGGCTGGTTCAGTTATATATATGTATAGTATAGCAGATTCACCCAGCAGTCCTTGATACTAGAGTCTAGGATTTGCATGATGAGTAAAGCACGCAAATCAGAAGAACAGGGATCTCAGAGACGTCATTAATTACCCATACTCATATATCACAGCACATCAATGCTCAGCAGCAACATTCACATTTTAGTTTTATACTCATCATGGTCTATATGTATATATAGATATATATGTGTACATCCATCTCGCCTCCACACGCCTCCTTCCGCCTGTTACATAGATTGTAGTCAATCCAGTATATCCATAATTCCCATTTCCAATGAGAATATAAAATATAATGAAAATACAAAATAAAAACATCTGAATTACACTTTCGCTGACATGATTGCTGCCGTAGCAATAGAGAAAGAGTTGCGTCAGGGCTGCCACGCTGTAGCAGATGTAGGTTAAGCCGCTTAACGAGGAGGTGTTCTACCAACGGGCGAGTGGTACATGAAAGAAAAGCAATACAAGTTGTTATTAGCTGACTTTAAGTACTTTTCTTTAAATGCTTAATTGCAATAATTCTTTACTTTTCAGAGTTTTCCAATATTCAGTAAACACGTAAGAGAGCTCTAGGAGATACCCTGAACATATGCCGACTTACAGAGTAAATCTACAAAAATTTCATGCGGAAAAGAGAAGACAGAAAAAATACCTAACCTTGTCGTTAATCAGATTGATATTGTTTATCGAAATTATTGCTTAGTTTTTCATATCAACTGCAGCTTGTGATGTGATTTGTATTCTTATGATTTGTATTATTATGATGATGATGACTTCTAGAACAAACTTTTTAACTTATCGTATTTGTATTAAGAGCCACTCCCTTCCTTATAGGCTTGATCAACACAGAGACGAACACATTTTGAAAAATGCAATCAATTGATAATTGAATTGATTATTATCGAAAATAAGGTAATTGTTTGAGGTTTCATACCGCGTATGGCGTTCACGAATATATTTGAAATTTCAAGTCTTTAAAGCTTGTAGATTCCCAGATCGATCTGAATGCATACGGAAAAACGGAAGAGCAGATGGTAAGTTCGAATCAAATCGTCGTCCTGAACATGGATATATATGTACTTAATTTGCTTTGGCAAATACGTACTTATGAATGTCATCTAGAAGGAAAATTATTCAACAATTAAATTGCCCTTCTGCAGTCCAAGCGAATCCGCTGCGTAAACTGCGCAGTAAGCAGAGCGCGAGTGTGTATGTGTGTGTGTATGTTTGTGTGTATATGTATAAAATAGTCGTAGAATGATTGGAATATCACCTCTTCACAGGGTTCAGGGTATCTCCTAGTCGAGGAGTCTCGATTTTCATTTTAGACTTTTCATAGAGACGGATATGCGTAAATCGAAATATTAGGTGTACCTGACTGATCTTTAAGTTCTTTAACTTATTCACTAATATGTCAAATATTGCAGACAGAAATTTGATCGAGTTTGGTAGCTTACCAACATAATATCCAAGATAGTTGAGCAGAGTACAAAAGCTGCGGACAGGAAGTGCATCATCACGATAACGGTAAACTGCCTCGTGAGATCTGTACACAAGTCGATAATTGCATTATGACGCTTTATAATCCCGACCAGCTGACCCCGCATGCGAGCGTTTGCTAAAGGAGTGTATATCTCCACTATATATTGGGAAGTATTGTTTATTGGATACATAGACTCATATTAGCGTTGACTTACACCCATCCAGGGGAACAAAAATAGAACGAATATCCTGCTGTATCACGCGAAATACTCCGCTTATGTACAAGCAGCTGCACAGAAAGAATCCATCTACGAAGCTAAAGGTGAACACGGTGCAGGCACCAGAAGCTGTCAGCAGCAAATAGGTGAGTGGAAATGAAGCAGGCTGTGTCGCAAATTCAGGTAGTCTGTAAATATAAATATTAAAGCTCGAGTTAATGTAATTGTAAATTTAAACGTTAATTACAACGTAATTGCAAATGCTAATGATGGGGTTGATCTGAGTTCCCAATCTGATATATTCCACAACAAGCGATACAAGAATGCAACCGAGCAGATTGTTTGTCAATTTGTTGCCGCTATAGGTAAACTAAGCTTTAAGCTCCATCTACTCAAATGCCTTTTCAAATTCCAACTCGTTCTGAATTACATTGTTAAATCTTCCAAGGAGCAGCATAGCAAGTGAGGTTAGAGCTCAAAATCTGTGTGTTCGGACATTGAAATCTCACCTCATATGTGTTAATAAAATTAATGGCAATCAATTCTTCAAATGTGTTGAATATGTTGTATAAATACCACTGAAGGACCTTCATTAATACTTTAAAGATAAATTACAATAACAAGCCGCAAATCAATTTCAATTTCAATTCCGTATTAAATTCTTAATTTTCTACATTCTAATTAATTTTTTTTTCATTCTTTGTATGTACAACTTCACACAAATACCTATACTAACTATAAAAGTCATATAAATATATTTATGAATGTGTGCGACAAGCAATTAAATTAATTCAATTACAAGTAAAGTTGACAATTACTAAAAATGGAGCGAGATGGCGAAATGAAAGTGCAGTGTGGTGAATATTGTATTCCACCCGAGTATGTTGTGTTTCATTTCTTATTTGATCGGCTTTAAACGTATTTATGAATGTGTGCGACAAGCAATAAAATGAGTTTAACAATTACGAGTTAAGTTGTGTTTTTTAAAGATAGAGCGAGATGGCGAAATCAAAGTTGAGTGTGGTGAATATTGCATTTTACCCGAGTTTGTTGTGCTTGCATTTCTGAGCATCTTATTTGTTCTGCTTTAAACATATTTATGAATGTGTGCGACAAGTAATGAAATGAATTCAACAATTACGAATTAAGTTAATGATTTTTAAAGATAGAGCGAGATGGCGAAAGTGGAGTGTGGTGAATATTGCATTCCACCCGAGTTTGTTGCGTTTGTATTTCTGAGCGTCTTATTTGATCTGCTTTAATGGGCTTAAGTTGTGGAATATCTATATACACCACGGACATACAAGATCCCTTGTTTGTGTCTTCATATTCTATTCATATTCATATTCTTTTATTGTGCAGAGCGGACAGACAAGTAATTTCAAAACAAGTTCACTTACAGTATATTAAATGGCAGCTCCACTTGACCGGGTAATTCGTAAATCCAGCGGTATAAGGCCATTATTAAAGGCTGAACATTGAAGGCCATGTTGGTTAGCGAGCCGGAACTAAGCAACAGAAGACTAAGTCGATTTGCTACTGTGGATATACCAACTAGCAGTTTCTGCGCCTCATAGCTGCGGTTACTGTACAATGTAGCACGCAGTCGCTCGACGAGTTCGAACCACTGACGATGGTGCATCAAGAATATAGACAACTTGAGCACACAAACGGCCTTGGTGCTGCCCGGACAGAAAGCTTCCAATGCTCTTACCAAAATATCCAAATTAGCACAACCATAGAGATTCTCTCCACAAGCACCGATCAAGACGACACAGAAACTAAACGCACAGATCAGATTCATGGTGCAGCTGCGCCTTTTCACTGGCCAAATGCCCACAATTAGCCCAGATAAACGTGGTATCCTATAAAAACTTTTTCCAATTTCTGGTTCATGGCTGGGTACCATTTTCGATAATATGCAGTATATTTATAATCACGAACTAAGACTCTTCAATAGGAGCAGATTAAGTAGCCAAAGACTCTAATTGTCAGCAAGTTTTGTATTTTATAGGCTCACATTTAATTGCTAAGCCAAGTTTTGTCCAGACTTTGGTAAAAGTTTTCACTTTTTTACCTAGAACACGCCTCTATATTTAAGTATCGTTTTGCCTCTTTGGCTAATTATTGTGTTGACAGGTGTTATTAAGAGCTCTTTTGTTGCCTAACAAACTTTAAACAGGAGACACTTAATTGATACCTATTCCTTTGGTTATATAAGCACAATTCTTACCTCACCTGGCAGTAATCCACCTTCGTAGTTCCATGCAATAAAATAGGAATTACAACAGTTTTCCGTTTCAGTGTCACCAGCAGATGCTGGCATTGTACACATGTCTATCAGGAGCCATTATGTCTGCATTTCCATCTGAAGAATAAAATATTGTACAATTTAATGTCCACATGGCATTTGAGGTCCGACACGGCGCATGATTGACACCACAAAGTTAAAAAGTTGTTGTTTAATAAAAATAATAATGGACAGCTCTAGCCAAATTCCTTATTGTCTTCGTTATTTACATCCTTACCCACAGATACAACTTGACAAAAACTTGAAAAAAGCTTAAGATTGAATTAATATTTTGATGAAAATTCTGTATATAATTCAGCTGCTGTCGTCCGTTGAGTTGGTTTAAAAACTAGCAAAGCAGCCCACGTGAAAGGTAATCACATACGTATGTCTAGTAATCCAGCTCAGAAGCATAACCAGGCAAACACATGCAATAAAATGCTGTTAGCGATTCGGTCAAGGCAGCTACAGATGTTGCCCTGTTGCCTGCTGTCCGTTTCCCTGCCGAAAGTTCACCTACCTAGAAAGAGTCAAGCCTCGTGAGTTAACAACAGGGGAAGAACACGAACAATGAAAACAGCAACAAAACAAAACAAAACAACAACAGCCATAAACGTGACAATATGCTGCACATTTGCAGGCAACATTTGCCCAAACAAGGCAGACGAAGGCAACAAACTGCAGCAGAAGAAGCAGCAACAGCAGCACCACCACCAGCAGCAGCAGCATGTTATGCAGGACGAGCAAACACGCAATGGAAAATGCCACAGTTTGCATAAATCAGCGGAAAAGCGCGCAAACCAACCAACCAAACTTACAAATGCAACTGCTACCGAGCGAGCCAATCGTGCAAACACGGTCACAAGCACGCTGTAAACATGGTCTACACAGCCAGACACCAAGCTGAAGCTCTCACACGCTTAGTGCAAATATAATTTACTGACTCTGATGCTGGAGCTGATGATACGATTGGCGATCAGGAACCACCTCGCAACTGCAAACAGCCCACAGATTGTCCAGTTTGTTAACCAGTTTTGTGGTGCCTACCTGCCTCCCTACCAACAAAAAAAATGAAGCTATGCATATAGAAAGTAATTACGTCGCCAAAAAACATTCTATTTGTAAAAAATCAACCTCCAAACCTCAACCCATCGTCGCCACTTCATTATCTGCTAACGGAACTCGAGACAAAAGTGGGGGCTGAAAAATGGAGAAGATTATATATATATATATATATATATATATATATATATATAGGAAAAATGCTTACGTCGTTTAGAATTGACTCAACATTTTATTTAACAATTAAGAGGAGGTGTTACTTAACCGATTTCAATGAATTTTCAGCACATGATCTATTGGAATATTCGTTGGTTTATTATAAATGCAAACTCTCACATATTGGCTATTTTTTCAACTGAACTTCAAAATTTGGAGATTTGGAGTCGGTATCCAAAATATATCACAAAACAACATTGTATAAAATATCAGAAGACATGCAGTTAGCATGGAGCTAACATTCTTCTATATTCTTCATACCTAAGCAAACAAAAGAACATAAACCGTCATCCGACAGTATTGCACTCGAATTCCTTAACCTCTTTGATTATTATTTGAGTCAGATATCATTGCTGAATCGGCTTACCTTACTTGTTTTAAGCAAATATATTTTTATATATTTATGTGCATATATAAGATCCCATAAATATCATATTATATGTATCAAATTCATTTAAATAAATCTATGAAGCACTAATAAATACCACTTCAAAATATTAAATGTCATTTATCAAAGCCAGATCATAGACATTTACTAATTAATATTTAACACATAGATATAGAAGCCTTTAAACGAAAAAATAGTAACAAAATAATAATTTTTGCCTAAATCAAATATTCTTAATGTTTACGTTGATACTATTATTTATCTGTTAATGGAAATCGTATGTTGTCACGAGCTGGAAATGCCAATTGATGCCGTAGCTGATTTAGTTGACGCTGAGTGCTTTGAATTTGAGATAAAGTCGGAGCCAAGGGGGATATCACCCAGGTAAGAATTTCATTTCCGAAATGATTATAGCAGTGGCGCACATAAACATTGAAATCCTCAATGGTAATTTTAAGATTTTGACGGGTTCGCTCAACAAGCTCCTGAACTTGACTGCAGCGCAGTCGCAGTTGATTGTTAGACTCTTCTAATATATGGCCATACGCTTGGTAACTGCAACACTCTTGGGTCAATCGATGTTTAAATTCTTTTAGCTGCTTCTTACTGCGCCATATTTCAAGGCACAGTCGCCCCATATTCTGTTCATGTTGTGCAGTTTGCTCAAGTAGCGCATGCAACTGCTCCTTTTTTCCTTTTAGCTGAGCCTGCAGTTCGGCTTCCGTTCCCAACTCGTGGCGTAACTGTTGGCTAATTGAATCATTTGTTTGGACTTGTGCTAATAGCTGACTCTCTACATCCATGAGTTCCTGCTTTAGCTGCACGTTTGATTCTTCGCATTGTTTAATTTCATGTAAGTTCATCAGTTTCTCGTCATTCAAATCACAAGATTCATTCGCTTGTGGCGCAAAGTCCAAGAGAAAATCAAACAGCAGCAGCACATTTTGGATCGATGCACTGGGCACCAACATCCATGATTTGTTCAGCTTGTATGGATATTGCAACTGGCGCATTGCCACGATCGTCTGCTCAATTTTGTTTTCTTTGTCGAAAGGTTTTAGCCGAACGCCCGTGAAGGTCAAGAAATGACTCAGAATACGTACGAAGTCGTTTAGTCCCAGTTTTTGCAGGCCTGGCTTTAAGATCGTTTGAAAATCCTTTAATCTCCGTAGATAGGAGACAATGCGATTCTCTATTTTTATCAAAAAGTCCTTGTTGAGATCTAACTTACGCCCAGTTGTGCGACCATATTCTCTCCGAGGCGAGTTAGGACTATGAGATTCCGCGGATTTCGACACAGACTTTGGATTCGGATGCACCGCCTTAAGATGCAGCGGAGATTGTTTCAATTCCTTTGTAGATCGTGGTTGCATACACATGGGCTTTGATATAAACCCAACAACATTAAGCGATTTCGATGTGCAGTTTTCGACTGCCTTAAAATGCAGCGGCGATTTTAAGAGCTCCTGAATTCGGCGCGGTTCTGTGAAATCCTTATATCGATAATGCGATACAATTAAAATACAACTGTATATATAAACATACCCAAATGTTTACTGGGGCTGTTGAATTCTTTGATGGCACCAATCGCAGAATTATCATTCGGCGGTCGGAAATTTTTGTAATCCATTTTTATTTCTCTATCAAATTAAGTCTACTTTTTCAATTTGATGCACAGGCCAACCAGTGCTGCCACCTTTCGAAACATGCATTCGATTACATTCAGATATTATCGAATAATTTTCACAAAATTGAGGGGGGCCAATTTATACATACGACCTTCAGGTTAAAAAAGCCTGTTTTTTTACGATAAAAAATGTTCATTATGTCGACAATTTAGCAATTACATTTTTGTTATTATAGTATACCGATAGTTTGATTTATTGATTTAAGAATATGATAATAATATTTGAATGAATGAATACAGCCAATACCAATATTTGACGGTATATTGGTCAGAATGAACCGAAACTACCGAGCTAATATTACTAATAAGATTACAACTATTAATATCTAACTAGTTCAACAGGCAAATTGCTACAGGTCGACATAAAATGATGTACTAATACGTCTCAATCTAACAAAATATATTTCATCCGCTGTTTCATATATTTTCAGGTTTTGCAAGTAAAGCACCGCTGAACTCATACATATAGATCCTTATAGATCCACCCATTTAGGTGGTGAATTACAGTGGTTTCGCACGACTTTTATACACACCCAATTTCATAAAATTTTGATATTGATGTTATTTCATAAATAAGATTTGTTGTCGGTTCATATATCACTAAATAATTTTGCATTTATTTTATATAATACAGTACACGTTGCATTAAACTAATTTAATATATATTATATAATATTTTCATATATAATCATATAATTTATAAACTTTATACGCCTTTCTTACATAGCTTTCGCTCAGAAAACAGCACATCAATATTTGATGTACACATTGCAAATTGCCTTCAGTTGTGAGACATATACAAGTTTACAGCTCGTTTTTGCTTTAATTTTCGTAACAAATTTTATGGATCTCGATTATTTTTGAAATATAACATTGTTTTCTTTTTTTATGCTAAAAGTACTCATGATATTTTGTTCTCTCTTAACATTCGTGTTTTTCTGTGCTGGTATGTGATAAATAATTGCTATACAGTTAAAAACTTTAAAGTGTACAGCACTTCGATATTAAACTGATGGCCAAATAAATACTATTTCATTTATGACAACTGCATTTAAAATTATTTACAATATTATATAAAACTATAAAAGAACGTAAAATTTCATATGCCGTGTTAATTACTCAAGTTGCTAATTAGATTTTTTTTTTTATTTAGTTGTGGACTGTTTGAATGACTGATAATTTAAAATACTCGTTTCTTTAAAAACTTCTCGCATTGACCTTTTTTTTGGGATATCCGTCTCGGTGTGCGAATGTGTTTTATTAATAATGAATAGATCATATGGCCAAAACTTAACATGGAGTGCAAAGATTGAGCTGAATTACTATGCAAAACATGCGTGAATAGGATGCATTTCACATAAAGAAAATCTGAACATAATGTCTACATTATAGTTATACATACGTATATGCATATAGGTATTTAATAATAACAGTAACTATCAACATAGCGGACGACAACGGGACGCTCAATTAGAATTAAACATTAATCAACAAACTGACCACAAACCGACTACCACTCATTCCTGGCAGAAGCCCTCAGTCTCCTCAATGGCAAAGGTCAATTTTTCCACCAGCTGATCGTAACTTTTATAAGGCGGTAAATCCAGGCGGTTGAAACAAGTGTGCGAACGTGGTAGCCAGGTCTCTTTGCCCACTTTTTCGATGCAGAATCTCTGCGGTCCATTCGACCCCATCAGTTCCGCAAAGCCACCGACTGGAACGCGACATGTGCCCGTTACAAACTGTAATAAGCGGGCACGCTTCTCATTGTCCGTTTCACGTACAAACTTTAAGCAAATACAACATTTGTTATTGTAGAATCGAAAATAAGAACTAACGAGTTGAGTAATCTCACCTGCCAAAACCAGACCACTTGTTTGGAATTACGATTGTAATGTCTGTAAATAGTGTTGCGTTGCCAGTCTTCAACATCCACGTCTTGCATACCGCATAGTATAAGTTCAAGTTCGCGTTCGTCAAAATACTTCAGCCACTCGAGAGGCACAACTTCGTTAAAGCCCTCAAGGAACATCTGAGTCTGATGCTCAATACCGCTAAAAAAAATAAAATGGACATAATAAAGTAAACAAAATGCTAAGTAACTATAAAGTGTATCAAATAATTACCGGGTCATACGCCACTCGGTCATGAGTGTTATGTACTCCTCCTTATTCTCCTCCGTCACGCGCTCCTTCTCGCCATTTTCTTTGAGCTCGTGATGAATTATTTGACCGAGAACTTCAAAGTCTACGCTGAACCATAGCTCAAGACCACATTCGTCAATATTATTGTCTCGTACCCAAATGAGTGAGTTATAAAACTCGGGATCAATGGTCTCAATGTCCTTGATAGTCAGCTTTTTATTCAGCATTCGCTTGTAGAACGGCATGGTGAAGCCACTGTAGATAAATCGACCATGATATAGTGCCATGGCAATGAATCTTCCAATGAACTTAAAGTACTGTAAGTGGTCCGGATTCACATAGGATGCAGGATTAATTTGTAGGCTATAGTTATTCTTGTTCGCGTACTCGAACAAACAGTACATGGGATTCAACACCTCGTGCGACAGCAAAAAGAACCACTCGCGTGATACGCCGCCATAGTCAAGGCCCTCCTCCCCACGAAAGATTATGTACAGACGGCGACGTAGTTCATAGGCGGGTAAGCGCATAATCTGATGATATGAGTCTTCAAACAGCGTTTGCCGTGTGACGGTGATCTTGATATGGGAGGGCAATGCATTGCTCTGGCACAGATAGCGGAACTGGGATAGCTTCCAACGGAAGCTACGCTCGTAAGCGCGGGGAACACCATAGACCCCTTTGGCACCCTTCGGTGCACCAGGGCGGGGATCCTCGAAAGTTGTCCGCCGCGTATTGTGATCAACAAAAAATCGTTCGCCAGCAGCCGTGTAACGTATTTCCCAACCTGGTGGCAGAGGTCCCTCATTAATTAGGCTCACCTCCTGCCCCTGGGTACGCGGATCCTCCCATTGGGTGGTGCGGTTCTTGTGATTCACAAAGTAGACTCTATTGTCAGATTGCACCTTCTTTTCCCAGCCATCGGGCAGTGGACCCAGCGCATCTTCGTCATCTTGCGTCAGCTGCGCTGTTACAGCTGTCGGTTGTTGCTGCTGTTGAGAGTAGAGGAACCGCTGATTACCCTGTGCAACCACATGAGCGCGCTGGCCCTGCCAGTGCTGGAAGTGCATTAGGCGTTCGCTGTTTGGCCGTTGCCATGTAGTCTTTCGCGTATTGTGATCCACATAATAAACGCGACCACGTACATCCTTTCGTATTTCCCAACCAGGCGGGAGGGGCGTCGGTTTTTCCCAGTACGTGGAGCGTGTATTGTGATCCACGTAATAGCGCCGACCGTACTGATCCAATCGTATTTCCCAGCCGGCAGGTAATAGCTCATCTTCCGCCGGTTGTGTTTGTAGTTGCGTATCTGTACCGTTGCTCACCGGTAACGCAGCGCCACACACTGCTTGATCTGGTGCTCCTGCCAACATGTAGTTTGCCTGCGCTCCATTTTCCATCGAGCCGTTTACGTAAAGTGGAGTTTGCGTAACTGGTCGTTGCTGTACCTGTACAGGGGCCGGTGGTTGTTGTGGGTACGGCGCTGTTTGTGGCACAGCTGCAGCTGCGGTGCCATTACCCATTCGCAACGGTTGCTGGGGTTGTGCAACCTGCTGTTGTTGCTCCCAAACTGGTGGCGCCGTTGAGCGTCGCTGTTCCTGGGATATACCATTAGATATTGGAGAACGGGTAGCCGCTGGCGGCTCCGCATTGCTGGAGCGAAGCCGCATTCGAGCACGTACACCTCCATATATCATACAGCTTCGTCCCGCAGCCTCCGCATCGTTCACCACAGGATTAACCGTCTGGACGGCAACGCCATTTTGCTGCGAGTGGACCACCTTGCTCATATCTAGTTTAAGGCCATTAAGAATGGCCACCAGTTCTCCACTTTTGGTTTGTCGATTGTCCGATTTGGAGTTGACAAACAGATCTATTGTCAGTTCAAGGTACTCGCAGCGCCCGTTATAATGGTGCAATATGTGGGCTAATTGAATGACACGCTCTCCCAGCATTGCATCCTTGCGGAAGCTCGAATGGTCCAGCACCTTGAAGTGCAGCGTTGAATTTGGCGTGATCTATGCAAATCGCAAATCGCAAAAAGGCACATCAAAAACTACGATTAGTTTTGGTCTAAAACATAGTTTACATGTTACTCACCAGCACTGTAAACTCCTCGTTCCACTTTGGCAGATAGCTGTTCTTAACTAAATCTGTCTTACGCTTACTCTTGCTGTCTATTAACAGCTCCACATATGGATTTGGTTTAAGAAAACCATTATTGCGCAATGAGGCCTCCTCAACTGCGAAAGAAAAGCAAAAGACACGTCAGTTTATAAGATTACCAACATTTTCTAATTATTTGTATACTCACTTGTCACGCTTAATTGATAATATCCTTGATTACTGCTACCATTGCCAGTGCCCCCTCCACTTCCATTCGCAGTTCCACTCGCACCAGCAGCTGCTACTGGTGCTATGGCAGCAGATGTTCCTGGTTGGTTGAGATTACTGGCGGCGATGTTAGTTACAGATGGTGTAGCGTCGATACCGTCGTTGCCAGCACGAGAAGCTGCACCTGCTGCCTGACCATTTCCATCAGCCATTTAAATGCTGCTCCTACCTGATCGCTAATCTAATCGGCTATTAATCCTGCCCAGCTACTCCTCGCCGTAGCGGCTGTGAAGAAAGCAGCAAAAAATTGATAATGTTTAACAATATTTATTTAGTAAATAGATTGCCAAGCATTCGAAAGTAAAGAAACCCATAACTCATTCAGTACAAAGTCTAATCAGTTCTTCGAATCATGACAATTTGTATATAAAAACCCTGACGCTATAAATTTCATACACACATAAGTTTATATTATTTACAGATATGTTTATCACACAAAATTGTTAAGTATCATTAAAAATGAATTGCGTTTGGCAAAGTTATTTAAAAGCGACTAATATGACTTTACGCTCTACTCATTGGTTCCACAGATGCTATATCCTACAGTCGAATGATATTTATTTATTGCAAGATATTGAAAAGCAACGTTAAAAACAATAAGTTTTTATACAAAGCTACATTTGACAATCTTTTATATGGTTATGTATTATAAAATTTATTAGATTTTGGTCTAATTTTATGATTTTATAATAATTTGGATGACGATGAAGGCCTTGTAAACGAAAAAACTTTTAGCTTCGATAACTAGTTAGAGAATACAAAAATAATTTGTCTAAGAAAGACAGATTAGTTTGCACAAAAGCAAAAAGAAGTTAGGGACATGACTGTATGACTAAACTACTTTTACTGATTAGGAGGATATTTATATATAATAAAATTCCAGTTGTAGTTGACATCTAGAGTAGTAATACGATGAAATTCAAGCTATTTACGTGGTTATGCAAGGAAGACAATTTAAGCGTACATTTTGCCGGTCAGCAATCATTAGGTGTACACATAGGAGTTTTGAGAATAATTTTGATATCACGCACTTTCTGAGTGCAACTACCACACCACCACTTGCCATTTGCCTGAATGGGTTGTATAATCATCGAAATGAGTCACAAGCAAAAAGTACGCTGGTAATACAATGTACAATATATACAAAATTGCTACATATATACATTTATGCTTACATACATGTATATTTGACTAACGTAGCTCCATTTAATAAAGGAGTCGTTTTTATTAGTATTTCCAATATTATATATATTGTGGTTACCTATTTTACGTATTAGTTGGAAATTATTTAAAATGACAGCTAAAAAGGAATTCAACTTCATAAATAATTAATATGAATTTTGTTTTGAAAATAAGCAAACAATTGGTAGACGTGAACATTAATTACAATTCGATAAATTGCATATTTTCTAATTTGAAGTGGAAAGCAAAAACAACATTGACTATGTATTAATAATCAGTAAATGGAAAAGTAAAACGTACTTTTTTGCTGTTGTTATCGTGTAAGTATGTATGCAATTGTTATTGCATGTGTGCGTGTGTTTGGTATTTTTTATTAATGCATGTGTGTTTGTATATATAGTGATATGATGAGGGCAAGCTAAGATTATGGGCAAAAGGAAACTAGCTACAGCTATATATAATCAGCGAAGCGCGACAACAGCTGTGTGAACCATATACAATATATATATATGTGTATTTATATTTATCTATACATGTATCAAACATACATGCGAAATAAGTAACTAAAAATGCATTTCTTATGTACGCACATACATACACAAATGTCAGGTGGGGGCTGAGATTACTATGGGGTATGCATTGACACACCTGAACCGTAAGTATTTACAAGCAAACATATTGGTTTATATATTATACACCAGCACACACACGAACTATTTCACTAGCACTTATGCACGCTTACTCATGTAATGCACACGAATTCTATGTAAACCGTTTACTCCTATGTGTGTGCGCATATACGTATGGGTATGTGTGTCACTGCTTGTTTGTAAATGAGGCAAAGGTCGCGGTAACGCGGACACTTTATTCTTGCGTAGAGACGTTTTCTTGGAAAACTAACGGCGCAGTTTTAAATGCACACAGGTGCTTTTCCTTGCTTAAGTCCAAATATTGCGCTTACCTCCTGATCTTGTTTTCCTACAATTTATGCACTATCAGATAAAGTATATATAAATATACGATTTTACAAAGAACGAACAAAGAAAGAACACGCGAGTGTTTTGAAATAATTTACAAAATGTGCGTTGCACTTGGTAGTGTAATAGAGTTTAACATTTTGTATTTAATTGTTGGTGTTAGTTAAATTGCAGAATCAATGCAATGGCAAAAAACTTAGTTTTCGTTTCGATTAAGTGCTGCCAGACCTGGGAAATATTAAAATACCAAAATTAAATATACTGAAAAATACCATTACAATGAGTAATATACTATTAGTGTGGGAAAGAAAAAACTTAGAAAAATTTGTTTGCAAATTACTTTTAAATTATAAGTTGAGCTTAAATGATCATCTTTCGAAAATATTGAATACACCAATGATAAAACTAACTGAACAGACATTAGAAATTTCTACCTAAATCTATATTATTTCAGTAGTAAGCTATTATTATATGCAAAGCAAACTAGATGACATATAAAATTGTATGTATATTTTAGGACATTTTTTAACGCTAATTTTGACAGCTTTCATACATAGCACTTGTCGCATTGATCCACTAAATAACTATTAAGATCGAATTATAGATATATATTTGTAATGGCTCGTAAAAATTCGTAGCCAGGGTATTCGGAAACTTTATACAAAACATTTTGTACTATTAATTTTTGAACAGATTGTTAGCCCTGATTGGGAATAACGGATTCTACTTAATACTAACAAGATTATATTCCAACCGCAAAGCAAAATCATGTATTAACTATCGATTAATGTAATATATTGTACTCATCGATTATTTATATAACAGCACGTTTAATATATTGTACTTATCGATTGTTGGTACTGCATACCGCTTTATCTATGTCCGTTAAACGGAAAATTTCTTTGATGAATGTTAAAATATAAACAGTCAATAGTTGTGATTGCTGTCTAAAAATAATATATTGATTGTTAATTCTTATAATAATAATTATTTTAAAATACATTCGGCGTTATTATTATATATTTGTTATTTTACTTAACTATAAAAATATAATCTTAATTTTAACCAAATTCTGTATATGAGTCGGCTTATCTACTTCAAATAGTATACGAATATTATTCGATTTATTTTAATATTTTTTTAGAGATTTGCTTTAAATATGAAAAATGAATAATATTTGGTTAATCTATATTTATGATAAACGTATAACTTACAAATTTAAAAAAATTTAAGCAATACATTTGATTTTTATTATTTTCTTTTATTTTAGAAGATATGAAGTATCTTTATATCTCAGGACTTTTAAAATCTATGTGAGCACATAATAAAAGTGAATTTACTTTTACTTACCCTCCTCTTGATTTTATTTGAGAGCACAGTCAAATTTATTAATATAAACAATTAATACCTTTTACTTTGTTTGCTTGTCGCTTCATATTCATGATGAAGTGTAAACAAATTTACTTCGAGCTTGTATCACGCTTTGCTCTATATTCGAGTCTCGCTTTAACTCACATTTCACCGAGTCGCGATGTCTGAGCACTAGGTTTGCCAACGCAAAGAGAAAATTGTTAAAATTTAACATAGCACGAATCGTGGAAGTTCAGCCATTCGTATCGCGTGCTTTGTCTATAGCGGAAGCCTAGTTGCCGAGTTGAATGTTTGATCATCTTTAAAAAAATAAACATATTAAAGGATATTCATACGCAAAGTTTAACAACGATATGCATGGACTTCTAATCTATTTGTGCCTTTTAACTTGCCTATTTTACTTTTCGGAAGGTACGATAAGGCTTGACGAGCCAAAAGTGATTTGTGACGCAAATTGAAATATATAAATACATTTTTAAACTGGTCTCGAAGATTTCTAAAAATTATAACGAACTGTTGAAGGCAAATGAGTGCTTAATATACTACAGATATAAAATTGAACTTTTAAAGTAACTTTGATTTGTTGTCAATGGGTCTTTAATATTTGTATCCTTTTGCTTTTTTTCGTCCCGTATGTTGTCCTGTCGTTTATGCTTGGTGTTCAAGGTAAACCGTGTCCTGAAAAGACCCGTCGCCATAAGACACGCTGCGATGCTTTCTACAAATGCCGCGACTTGCCCTCGAACTCCCACGTCTGGATACCCATCAAGTGTAAAGAGGGACTCGTTTATGAGCATAGTGTGGGCAGCTGTGTGTTGCCCGCCGAGGATTGGGAATGTCTAACCCCTAGCGAAGTAAATAATGCAACTAACAAGCTGTCAAGCATGGGAAGCAAAGAATCCGACATTATTATTGTTAATAGCGATGATGAGCCGGGAGTTTTACTCAAGGAGTCGCCACAGTTGCGTGACGACAACGTGGAGATTGTGCTGGATGCCTCCTTAAGCAGCGAAGAGCAGAGTGAACCACCTTTCAAGCCTGCACATGAAAGCAGTGAGTATGAAAGCTCCGCCAGCAACCAATTCGATTCCAGCGGCGATGGTGAACTTGTCGATTTGGATAGCCAAGTGCAGCCAGAAAATCGAGAGGGAGCGGTCAATATTACTTACTCTGCTTCTGTAGTGGACAAAGAGCCAATTGCCCTAAATAGACTGCCAAGCTCGTCAATAGATCCCACTCTTACAGCGCATTTGCAACGGCTGTCGCAGCTGATTGATGGACTGCAGCAAACCTATCAGAAGACGGACAAGCCACAAATGGAAATGCGCCCAGATCAGTTAAATGCTTTTCTAGCCCATTTCGATTTAAAAAATCGCTACGATATGCTAAATCCTTTGGGAGGGAGCCACACAGAGACCGCGACACCTACGACCCCAACAAAGCCAATGGAGGTTTCGGCTACTACCACGGCCAGGCCAACTATTCCATTGCCAGAGCCAACAGTGAATAAGACGCGTTTACAAGAGCATTTAACCAAGCATCGCATGCAGCCAGAAACCAAGCTGATGCTATCTAATGCCCAGCCTTTTTCCTCGTACGGTCAGGGCTATGCGAACTCTCAGATTGTAGTCAATCGTCCAGAGGGATCGGTTACATTTACACTCCCTCAATACGGTTCCAGCGATGAACATAGCCAGAAGTATGCACAAACTCAGAGTCATGAGTACATAAGCGACCACGAACCCAAGGTTTCGGAGGAAACACTAAAAACTGTGCTGGAACTGTCCAAGCAGATGATCACCGCTCAGAACATGCCTAAAGTGATTCAGAATCCGGCCTATAATGGAGCCTTCTATGCACAGCCAATTTTGCAGCCTGTCATACTGACTACTCAAAACAATCCTTTCCAGCAGTACTTCCCGATGCAGAGCTTTGAGTCTCATTCACCACCGCGGTCGCAATATATGCATCACAAGAAACAGAGCGGATATAACAAAAAGCAGTCGCAGCCCAGCACCACGATCATTCACAACAATGTTATACCTGTTCATCTGGCTAGCACAAGCTCCGGCGAAAAGGAAGTACTTGATACCTATGGCAACAGCTTGGGCGTCTATCCAAACAATAACAACAACAAGAATCAACAAATGGACAGCATGAACAACGGCAACAACTATCTCAGCAAATTTATGGCTATAATGACAACACCTCGCCCCAATTCCAGCTCCAGCTCCGGGATGTCCGTAACCACTATGAGTAGCCAATATACGGGTCAATATGCGGCTCCGTATGCCAGCGAATATGCACAGACAACGCCGCGTCCTTTCGAGCAGCAACCATCAGCATCGACTGTGGCCTCCTACTATACGCCTAGTCCGCATCTTAATGAGAATAATGCGCATCGCGTGTTCAACACGGAGAGCTATCCTACGTCAATGTCCATCGGTATTAATCTACCTCGCCCCATGGACAGCCACAATCTGTTTCCGATACATCTTGAGCCAGATCAAGTGAAAATTCGACCTAATTCCCAAAAAATCGAAAGCATGGAAGTAGACGCCGATGAAGCGAGTAATGTTAAGTATGTCAACAGCAATGTGAACAACAACCACCTGCACGGGAACAACAACTACAACAATATGCATAGCGGGTCTCATACACTGACCTACAGCAGTGGCGACTCAACGGATCTAATGGGCATGAACCATCAATTAGCACCTAGCTCGTATGTGGATCAGAGCTATGCGATGAACGAGCAGCATCGACCTGACTATAGTCCATCCTACATGTCCAATCTACCAGCCAGCATGAGCAGTGTATATAACGAACCCATGGGCAACAGCATGTACCCATCTGCCATGAGCTCTGCTAATAGCATGCAGCTTATGTCCGGAAAAACAAAATATCCATCTGCATTGGGTCAGCTCGTAAGCTTCAACGGCAACTTTATCAGTTTGGATATGTTTCAGAAGTCGATATTGCCATTGATGACACAATCGCCGTCGGCGTTGTCCGAGCTTGGCAAAGTCGAGGTGATCACATGTCAGGCCGGTGTACGTCAGCCGAATCAGACTGACTGCACCCGTTACTTTGTGTGTAGTAAGAAGGATGGCAAAGTCTTGTCCTACTCTTGCCCACCCTATACGGGCTTTAATAAGCAGACGCGCATATGCGACGCAGCAACTTATGCCCAGTGTGGCACTGTGCCAATCCTCAATGGCTATTCGATTGAGGAGAACAAGCGACTGCAGATCGAAGCCCTTAAGATGCTGAGCGAAGCCAAGCGGCGACAGGAGGCCACGCTTAAGAGTCAGAGTATTGCCAATCTTTTGCAACAATATGGCAGTATGTCGGAGCCAAGTGGATCTGCTGTCCCGTCTAGCATGGAACACAGCTTGCTGGACACCTTCATGGTCAACTTGCCCGAGCCAACTACCACGCCGCGCCCTACGCCAGTCATTCTTACCCTGCCACCCATCAGCAACAGTAATAGCAACATCAGCAGCAGCGGGTCGGCGAAGAAGCGCAAATATTACTGCAGGGAGGGCGATAAGATACCCGACCAGACCTCCATCAGCAGCTACTTCGTTTGCTACAAGACCGCCCAAGGTCAGATGAAAGGTCACAAGATGACATGCTCGAAGGGCCTGCTCTTCTGTCCCCGAACGCTGATGTGCACGCTCGCTAGCAAATGCTCCGGCTAGTTAGCTGGAACCTAATCTAAATAGTGTTCTAAGTTATTTATTTTAAAATTAAGCAACGATTTTCTATATGAAATTAATAACAGTAATAATGATACCGCAAAAATTGTTTTCATTTTACAAATGCTTGGAGCTAAGTGCAAGAGGTCAACGTGAAAGTAATTTTTCTTTGTATTCTACCTGTCAAGCATGTCACAATTTCCCTCATGACACTCGCCGTGCTTTTTAATACCAGTTTTTAAATGGCGCAAACGACCTTCTTATAAAACTTGACATACTCGAGACTCGGTACATATGCGAATGGCCGAAAAAATAAAAAACATGATACGCTTTCAAAGAGTACTACAATTTGTCCAACCCCGACGAGATTCTGCTATAAGCTATGGAAGAAGTTTCTTCGCGGTCGGCTTAGGACTCAAGAGGATTAGCTTTAATCATGGTCGACGTGTCGTGCAGGGTATCTGCAATTCGGTCACTCTCGACCAGCGCACTTTTATTTGTTTTCCTGGTTTAAATGTGTGCCAGGGCACTTTCTGTAGCTGTGACATGGTGGGTACTTGCTATAGCTATGAAGTTTCACTATTTTATTGTGCTAATAATCGTAAATGTGCTTTTGTTGCTGGAAATTATTTCACTAACTATTAAATATTTTTTATGGATTAAAAGTGTTTGCACTCCCTTAAATGAAAACCAGATTAAATATTGTACATATGAATGGAAGAAGCTAGGCATTGCCCCAGCGTCTTTTTTCACTTTTCACACGTGGATTTTGTGATTCGGGTTTCTTAAAAATTGTGTAGCCATATATTATCTCATCTACTTTTACTGTTTCAACTGACTACAAAATAAGACTTGCACCTAAATTTATTTTTCTGAAGAATCTCTCATAATTATTTTAGAAACTACTTTCAAGCAGCGCATAGGAAATTAAGCAGGTATTTATTTATTATATATTGCATACATAAGTAAAATTTGTTATATGGAAACTTTCTATATTTCAACTTTTGTGCAAGTATTGTAAGCCGCCATCACAAATCTATAATTTAAAAGGCTTTACAGAGGAAAAGAGTAGAACAGAACAGGTTGTCAGCACACAAATATCAGTTAGGGACATATATTTGCCTAAAATCAGTGGATAAATCGTTACCATACTCAATTGCCAAAATACGATTGAAAATTATGTGGCGGCATTCTTGAACTCTTCGACAACCAACTCACTTTCTCCACTGCATTTGATTGTCTTCCGATAATTAATATATAATAATTGCTTAAATTGATCTACACACAAAATACTAAACACGCGCATTTTAGAAATTTCTTTCTGTTCACTTAATATGTCACTCACGGATCCTCAATTTGAGAAATGCTCGTTTAGTGCCAGCAAAATATGTAGACAAAAATGTCGGAGGAGTCTGTTGTTAGCTTAGACTGCGCATCAGGTAAGTAATTTAAAGGGAACCCAGTTATGGACACACACAAAAGAATACATACATAATTTTTTGGATATGTATTCAAGAATAACGTTTAGTCAAAAGGAAGTTGCTTTAAATTTAGGAGGATTAGGAGAACATTGGATTAAACACGACATCTTCGACGGGTTACATAATTTAAGTTTGCATGTATGCAAACAATTTCTATTTGCATGGGCTCAAGGGGGAAAAGCTATAACAATAATTAAAAAAATTGTGACCTGCGACCTTTGGCAAGTACGAGAGATAATTATAATAATGTCAATTAGCTGATGAAAGTGTTTTAATGTACTTACTACACCGGTTTATGATAAGCTTTTAGTCGTTTTATTAGTTCATATAAGCATTTTAAACCAGTTCCGGACACAATGCTCTATTCAGTGTCTTAAGTAAATGAAAAACAAATATTTCAAGCTGGAAGGGCTCGAAAGGGAGACATCCTGCACCCGAATCTCCGAAAAGCTGGAATCTACACGTGTATTTAAATTTGCTGGCTTATGCTTGAAATCCAAGCCAAAATATTGATTATAATATTTTATGATTTTGGAGGCCAGGAGATCTTATGGATATGGGCATAAGGATAGATGGGCAGACATACATACATAACTGAATCAATTCAGTGCGTTGATTAAACTATTTATATAATTTATCTAGTCAGCCACATTACCAGCCAGGTTACAAGCATTTTTGGAATATGTACTCGTAGGTCTTATAGTGTTATAATTTTGCCAAAACTTCCATTAAAGGTGTAGAAAATTGGGTACCTATCACAGTTTTAAACGTAGAACCTGACAAGTATGGCACATCGGATCTGACTATATAAATATTAGTGATCCTAGAGCCGACAAATCGAAATCTTTTGAAGTTTTAAAGCTGGAACTGGATGAGTCGCAGTGTCAAATTAAAAATAGGTTCATTTGGATTCTAAGCTCCCAAGTTTGACAGTTAAGTTACTCTAGCTTTAATTGTTGCAATTTAATTACTGCAGACTCCCTTACCAAAAATGATTCCTTTGTTTTTAACCCGTGAATGAGTATGAATATCAGACTGCAATATTCTGACTTTCGAGTTAGACTAGACTACTAAAATAGTTGTGTACATACGTATAATTTGTATTTCGAGTAAGAAAATCACACTAGAAGAGATCTTTACTTGCAATTAAAAGTAATCATTCTAAGAACTACAACTGTAGTCTATAACTAGTTATTTATAATTTAATTTAATCCTGTGATCTTTTAACTTTTAATAAATACTTAATCTATGTATATTTTAAATATGAATATTGCTTATACATATTAGCTACTCGATAGATATTGGAGAACACATTTAAAGTTTAGTTTAACATTCATGTTATTAGCATTGCTTTTTATACCTCTTCATTAGTTCTCTATTTCATTTCAATTGCAATTCGGAAAAACGGTGAACTAATTAATCTATACAAGTATTGATTTCAATATTCAAGCAATTCATTTTGCCACATTTTGAATATCATAGTCTACATAAGTATTTACGATTAACTTGCGCTAGTTTATTATTCAATTATCACATTCTTTTTGATGATGATATATATTCATTTTTTCACTTTGACTCGTTTCAGAACAGCTTCTTATTCTATGGTTTTACTTTACGTTTCATTTGCTTTCATCAACTATTTAACTCGGAAATGGGAAATTATGAGAATCTAAAGTCGTATGTCACGAATAATAGAAATTCTAGCCATCTATGACACAAAGCATAGGAACTATATTAGTTTCAATTTCTTATTAACATAAAATAAAGAAAGTGTTCCCTTGATAAGGACTCAGACCATGCCAAAGCCCTCGCTGCCCTCACTGATGGCCAGCAGCAAAGATTTTTCAAATTGCTCGTAGCTCTCGTAATCCGGCAGGCAAAGTTGGTTAAAACTATAAGCAGAAAGTAAGTCAATTTTGTAAAAATATATATCACTCAAACTCTAGATACGTACCAGGTGTGTGCCGTGGGCAGGTTTCCAAATGTGGGCGCTGCGGTTATTTGAAATTGTGGATTCAGCTCCTGAAACCCGCCAGGCGGCAGCTGAGAACAGCCAGTGGTGAACTGCAACAGACGGGCCATTTCAGTTTGGCTAAAATTGCTAACTCCTGCCCAGAACCAGGCGAGTACACGTCGAAACTCCGCCGAATTTCCATTGGCAATGTGATGCGACTTAAAGTCGGTTATAGAATACTCGCCAGTGCCGCACATCAGTAGCTTAAATAGGGTACTTCAATAACTAATTATATGAGAAAATTGTGCTTCATTCACCTCTAATTCGTTTTCATCGAAAATGCTTAGCAAGTTGTCGGGTATGATTGCATTCAGACCCTTTAGAAAACTGTCGACTTCATCTTTAACACTGTTGCAAAGTCGCTGCTGTGCCAAAGCATCCAGATATTGATTTTTACTGGCATTGGTTACGCGTGTCTTGGCACCATTTGGAATAAGTTCTATGGACTTGATTAGTTGCCCGCTGTTATCATATACATCCTCCACGAAGTACAACTCCAGGGTGTCTGTGCCATCCAAATCCGTATCGAGTATGTACTTAATTTTCGACAAATACAAATCGGGATCATCCTGCTCGAAGTACTAAAATACGAATAATAAAATCACTTTTCAAATAAGAAATTATAAGCAAATAACTATGAGTCTCACCTTGTAGTGTACTCTTAGCCCAATGAGCTGGGCCAGAAACGATCGACTGAAGCGTGCTCGCACCAATTGCCTGTAGCTGCCGCCTAGAGCACTTTCAAAGAGACATTTGCCAACCATTTTTCCCGCAAATTCAAAATACTTCAGCTTTAGATGCGCCGGCCGTGTTGGATTTGGATGCACCAGCGCCTGGTGCTTGTCATGAAATGTACAAAAGAGTCCACTTCTTGAATCAAACAGAGCGCTGCAAACCAATTCGAACCATTCGCGACGCAGGCCACCCCAGTCAATACCCTGCTCCCCCTGGAAAGTGACTTCGAAGTTGCCGCACCAATCCGAGACACAAAATCCTTTGGTGGCTTTCATACTGCTCTCGAGTATCTTTTCGCGATTCACTTTGAGTGCCATTTTCTCGTGATAATAGCTGGCATGGAACTTGCGCACCTCGTGATAGAAGAAATCCTGCTTGTCCTTGAACGTCTCCGAGCCACCAATATTCTTCAGCAAGAAGTGCGTGAAAGTCGCAGCAATTATGTTGCGATCTTTCGAGGCAAGCTCGATGCGTGGCTGTGCACCATCGTCTATAATGAAAACCGGCCCATGCAACTGCGTCACCAGCTGAGGCAGAAAGTGGAACTTGGTCGACGGACACAGCCGAAATGTGGCAATGCGCTTCGGTATGAACTTCAATATCATTTCCTTGATCGTCACCTGAAAGATCAACGAGTTCTGAGCCTCAACGTTTCGCACAATTAATGTGAGCCTACTGTGTACTACTACTCACCTGTTTCGGCCCCACATAGCACATCACTTTCCTGGGTTTGCTCCTTGTTGCTCCATAAACACTCAGCAGCTTGGCCTCGTAGCAGATATTGTGCTTTCGGGACGCAATATTTTTATGAACGAGCGTCGTGTCGCTACCTCGAATATCAGAAGTAGAAAGAGAACTTGTATTAAAAACTAAATGTAATGATAAATTAATCATCAACATTCTTAGACTTATTCTTATCAATAATTAATAGCTATCTGCTTTATTAATTATGATCAAAGATGGCACGTAAATTATTTGAATAAAATTAAGAGTGCCCTAACATGGAGTACTCAACTAGAAGAGATCCTCGATTAAACTAAACTTGGTTACTCTAGCCTTTGATCTGTTTAACTTGTGGCTCGATCAATCAAAATTATTTCGTAATATTGATCGACAGTTGTTTTAGAAAAAGCTTCAGTGTATATAACAAAGACTATGACAAATGAGTAATATTCATAAGTGTAAAATCTGTGCATTCAGATACCAACTTGACCAAAATCCAAATATTAATTTTAACAAAATATATGATGAAATATGAACATTGAATATTAACAGAGGAGTATCAAGTCTGCAGGCTTTGCATTTGCCGAGATCAATATGTTCATTCGGATAATACACGGATAGATGGATAGTCAGTCGAAAGTGGCTAAGTCGACTCAGCTAGTGTTTGTAATTCTTATTATATCTATAAAATTATGTGTTTTTAACTGCAATCTGATACTTACTGCTGAGCACAATTATGTCAAAGTCGCCATTAGGCAGTTGCTGATCTCGATAGCTGATACTAGCACGCAAGCATGTGGGCTCTGGAAAGAGAGCAGTCACTGAAACGCGCGAATTGACTCTGTCGTAGCTAAAGGCAATGGCATGCTGCAGTTTTTCGACGGATGCGCCGTTTAGGTCGTAAATAGCGACACGGTAACCCTGCAAAGTGGCATGGAATGGGTTGGTGTTAAGAGGTGTTGAGTTCTTTCTGAGGTTGTATGCAACGTAACGTACCTGCAAGGCCTCGTCGGACTGCTCGAAGAGACACGCATTCCCAAACTCGTCCCTCGGTTCTATGTGCATCAAAGTCGGAGCACTGGCGCAGCAGATGAGTGTGCTAGCTGGCCGAATGAATCGTGACCTGCGTGGATCGATGGCGCCGGGCAGAAAGTTGCGAACAAAAGGCGAACCGGCTATATGACTAGCGCCGATCAGCACGGAAATGTTGTACTGTCCCGCAGTGCGAACTGTGAACTTGACTTTGGCAATGTTGGCATTATTGGGATCTGTGGATGAGCCCAGCTCACTGATTGTGACTACTTTGCGTGTGCCCTCGGTGACTTCTACGAAGAAGTGATCGGTATCACAGATGGGGTACGGCTGGCCATTCCGCTGAAAGAAGCGCACAACGAAGCACATGGTGCCGCCGACATGGGCCGGATCTTTCCAGTCCCACTGAACCCTGCAGTTGGCGGGCAGCAGATACTTCCCGGTTACGTACTGTAGAAGTGAGTGGCGCGCTTCCGGCGCCAAAGAAGGTTGTGTCATGGCGGCGAGTGTGACCAGACCGGCAACGGAAACAGAGACCACAAGCATGCCGCCCCATGTCCAGGCGTCCTGATGTTGACTTGACTTAACCACCGTTGACCACAGCTGCGCCTTTAAAGCGTCCAGCTGTGCCTTCGATGTGGGCAGGCCTTGACGCGCAGTCGACCACAATTGCCAATCCTTGCCGAGTATCTTGCTGGCACGCGAATCCTCCAGCCAGTACACGTCCTCCAACGAGGCCACCTCAACGGCCAGCAGACGTTGGTAATGATGTTGCATACGATACTCCCGCAGCCATTCGCGCAGAATCAATTTCTGCTGCAGGTGGAGAGCGGCTCGTTGTAAACGCTGTTCGTCACCCGGCGGCAGCTCGGGCAAATGCTCCGGATCGCCAGAGCTTGATAACGATGAGATTCCTATGCGGAAGACAAGAGGAGGATACGAATATCAAATATTAAGTTGCACGTGGCATATTTTAATTGAATATAACAAACTTTTGGCGTCAAGGCTAATTGAGTTAAACTGCCAAAGTTTGTGAGGAGCTCGAAACTTTTGCGATATCGACGTTCGACATCGAAATTGTCATCGACGGCGTCATCAGGACACGTTCAATATAGACTCGCAACACAAATAAAATCAACTTAATTGCGCCTCCAATTACAAGTCACTTATTTAGTCAGGCATTGCCATTCACCAGAAACTTTGACCACCTTGCCAATCAATTATATTTCAATTTTGGTGAATAACCTGCGAACCAAAACGAGCTCACGAAACTTAAGCTCACAGGCAACGCGTGTAATATGTATGGACATCCTGACTATATAGGTACATTTACTCATTCGTTGTCGTTGATTTCCCAAGCACGAACTGTTGGCCTTTGTTTACTTTCTTTGTGCTTCATAGCCTTAACTTGTTTTTATTCTCTCGCCACCCTTTCAGTGTTTCGGGTAATAGACTTTTTGTTCGTAGCGTTGACATTTAAGTATTGGGGTTTCTTTTTAAATATTTTCAAGCAATCATCATTATTAATAGGTAACCACACTTTGCTATTATATATTTATAACAGGCAATACGACTTCTGTCTTTCTCAAAATATCAACATTAAAACAAACCACGAGCTGTATAGAGGTATAGAGCTTCTAGTTTGCTATTTGATATTTTTCATCAAAATATGTCCAGTATTTACACGAAATTTTATTTTCCTAATCTGACCATTGGCATTCAGGACTGCCAACCACAACCCAGTTCAAGGCTCAAACGAGTAAAGTACAACGCTAATCCACATGCAATCTAAGCTCAGAATATAACGTTATTGACTATTACTAAATATACAAACGTACAAAAGCAACGATTGCGTGCCTGACACTTGGAAACAATTTTATTCCTTAGCAATTTCTTTCATTGCTTGCCCTCGCTCCTCGTACGCCGGAGAACTACGGATACCCCATATTTATTTGCCTGCTTTTGTACGAACGAACCACTTCCTTTAGATTTCGCTGATTCTGTAACCAACCTCAAAATGGTGCGAAATGTAAACAGCAAACAATGAAAGGCAAAATTTTGTTCTGAAAAGTTTTCGTTGATGTCTAGATATACACACGCGCACACATGGAAAATTCAATGTGTTTCCTACATGATTATCATATTAAAGTTGTCATTGAAAAGTAGCAAATATTTAATTGAAATTGCGATTCATACAATGCATATACAAGATATATGCCACATCAAGCGACAGGAGTAAATACGATTACATATATATATGTATATATATCTATCAAGTGCCGATAAGCAGATAAACTTGGAAAATAAGCTTAAGATCTCCGCAACGAGTTTTCTCAGGTATCCTATTTGCACGCACTTTTATGCTGCGAGCTAGAGAGAGTTATACTTTGGAATTTTTATTGTAATCTAAATTGTTTTATCTCAAAAAGGCTCGTGTTTGTAGATAATGAATGAATCTATGGTATGTAATGAAAATGAATGGGTTTGACCGTCTCAAATGACATTTGAATTTCTAAGTTTAACTAACTGTAGCTGACAGTTGGATTTTGGTCTCCAGTTCGTAATACGAGGAGCAACCAAAATCTATTTCTGGACTCACCAATCTCATACGTTAAACACAATTTAAGCATGGCACAGGGCAAGCTCTTTTTTGTGGCTCTATTGGATGGCCAGCACACTTGCATATTATAGATCAGAAGTGCCATATCGGAATCGCCGCCAAACCGGTCCACAATTCCCTTAAACTTGACGCAGGCATGGAGCAATATCAATTCATGGCCAACCACAGCATCCTCGGGCGGCAACTGGATCTGAGCCATATAAGCAATGTGGTATTGTAGTTAGTTTAATTACTTTACAAATTTTGCCAGACAACTCTAAGCCGACTATGAAAATGGCATTCGAGTCAATTTGTTGCTATCAACAAATTATTAATTAAAAATTTGTTTAAATACTGATGACAGACATATGAGTTACAATTATTACATTGCTAACAATCGACTTCCAAATTCTAAAATTTTTAATATTAAACTCAGAAGTTTAGAACAATTTTTTTAAAATATTTTGAAGCCAGAATTAAGCATTGGCGAAGTGTTGAGAAATGTATACAGATCAGAACAAGCTAAGAAATGATCGTGTCTATAAATGTAAAGAGCTTAGGAATGGACAGGCCTAACTTTCGATCTATTATATGCATAGAAGTAAGAAAGATTTTTACGGAAATCCAATGTACAACAAAATAGGTTTTATTGCCTATTTAATTGTCTACTTTATTCCAAATATGATAGTTCTATGACAGAGTGTAATAATGAGGATAATTGTAACTGAAAGATTACTTCCTATGGAAACAGCAAATTGATTTAATTTCTTACCTTTGCGTTGTATTAGAATTCTTCAATTGTTAGTAAGTATTTGTAAGTTCTTCAAATATTATTCTTTGAAATTGAATTTTGTCCTTTCCTATTTACAAAAAGATCTTATGTGAAAATCCTAAAAAGAGCCATTTTAATTTTTTCATTTTTTAGAGAAAGCAGATGAGAACAATGAGACTTGGTGCAAGGAAGTTTTTTATATTCACAGTTTTCCGCCTTCCCATTTTGTGAATGTGTTTGTCTTGTCAAAGTAAAAAATAATTAAAATGTTGGCGACAAGGACATCGTCATCGTGGGTGTACGTTTAATTTGCCTGTAACAAAATGTTATTTTTTTTTTTTGCAGCTAAGTGTTTTATGCGTATACATTTATTAAAGCAGCTTAAACCGTCTGTTTATAAACTTTTTGTGACGGAACAAAAACACAAACAATTTGTGTATTAAATTGAAGCACTCTTCACATTGCCGCCGGGCCGCCTACCACACTTACCTGAAGTTGCGCCATAAATGCAAGAGCAACTTGGGCAGCAGCCTCTGCAAGTGACGTATACGCAAGGTTAGCCCGCGAAAATATTATGCAACACAAGGGGCTTGCCCATCTCAAGTATTTCGCTAATAAATTTATACCGTGAATAATACTTTTCTTCAAAATGGTCATCTTAAGGCAGTTAGGAGTTTACTTAAGGTAGCCTTCAATTATTTTAATTATTTTTCAGAAGGCCAACATTAAATAAATGTTGCATAAGAAATACATGAGAATAATACATGAAGACTACTGTACTCTGAACTATGCTTCATTTAGAATTATCTACTATACATCCATTCGCTAGTCAAATATGGAACTGTTGACATATAGAATTATTAAAGATATATATAAGCAAACTTTTAATTTAAGCAAAAAACAAGAAATCTCTTCTCTGGGGTGCCCGACTAGGAGATCCCTAAGATCGCTATTGAAGCTGACATTTCAAATATATTTTAGGGTTTATACTCATTTGATAAAGTGATAAGATTTTCCCGATACGCCGACTAGCGCGTGGCAAATCAGGAAATACTAAATCGAGTATGTCAGAAAGTTAAAGTAATGAGGACTTGAAATTTGGAAGATATATTTGCTTTGGCAACCCAAGGTGAATCTTACATTTTGGCATATAAGATAATGGTTTGAACAATTTTGTTACACATATCGTACTCAGTACAACAATCATCTAAAAACAAAATATATATTTATATATAGCTAAGCTGATCCCATTGGAAAATCAGGGTATAATGGTTGGGTGCAAATGTATGTAACAGGCAAAAGGTGGCGTGGCATATAGCATATATGTTCTTGATCAGGCCTGTCCTCTATAGAGCACGCGCATATGAAGTTTCTTTCAAATAATCGACAACTATTTCCCCCTTTATTGTTATCGATTAAAAACATGATCGAAATTAAATTATATCTCGTACGGCTTACGAACTAGAGCCTCCAAATTTTGTATATAGTTTAATGTATATATTTTATACAATTTTTAATTTTTGTTATATATTGGATCCGACTCCAAATTTTCCCTAATTTCTTTAAATGCAAGTTCAGTTGAAAATAAGGCCAATATGTAAAGGAGTTAGCATTTTTACTAAGCTGACCATGACTTCAATCAATTATGTAAGTCATATGCTAAAAACTTCATCAAAATCCATTAAGTAAAACAGAAGTTATTAAACAAAAGGGTTGGCAACTTGCAAGAGCATGCGGCATGCAGCGCCAAGCGTACGCTTTTTTCCTACACGTGTACACACATACAATCAAATTTTTACATTCTTTTCTATTCGAATTGAATTGTGCTTGAATTATCAGCTGCTCCTGCTTGAGTTGAAGTTTGCAACATATTCGGTGTTGGTAGAGACGACGCTCGTTCCCGACAAGTTCCAATGTTGGTTCGAAGCTTTTTATTAATACTCGATACAAACTATTGCAAATACTAAAAAGCGGCGTGGGAACGCGCGCGCGTGCCTGATAAGCACGAGCTTGACGCGTTTCCCCTGCCTTTCTGACCTTGATCTTGCACCATAGTTTTTATACGCCTTATCACCAAATGCCGAGGCGATGACGTCATCAATTCAAGAAACCTGACCTACCATCATTCCGGGACAAACAATTCCCTAAGGCTGTCTTCTTAATGGAAAGCTAACTCTAAATAATATATAATTCAATTCCGATCAGCATCGATATCAGTATTGTACACATTTCTATATTATATATTATATTTCTATACTCACTCATTATTCCTCATTATCAGGTTCATAACCCGCTTAGCAACTCAATAGACGAGTTGGCTTTGACCAAGTGACTAACTAAATCGTGCACTGGTCACTAAATAAATGCAAGTTCAATAAGTCCAAATGCAATTATAGAAAGATAGATAAATATATAAGAAATTACTCGACCTTAAAATTAGTTAGATATGAAAACCTTTGTGGGCAGCAGACAACAGTAAACTGCAGTTATAGAGCCTCAACTTGTAGTTTTCAGTCGTGCGCCCCAAATCAATTGGGGTCAGGGTCAAAGGCGAAAACTTGCATAAAAACGAGCTAAAGCACATTTCGCGCACGACCCGTTGTTCCGCATTGCCTTGGCAATTGGTATGGGAATGCGAATGCGATTGCGATTGCGAATGCGAATGCGAATGGGAATGCGAATGAAAATGGATATGGAAATGGAAGTGTTGAAGCTTTAAAGTAGTTTTAGTTGGGGTTCGCTTTAAGTGAAAACTTTCCGCACACTCACCTGAGGAGGAGGATTGCGAGTGTCGCATTGTGGTGGCCATTGCGATGGAATTGATCTCCGACTCGGGTGACCACATTGTTGTGCTTTTTATAGATATATTCACGTTATGGTATTGTGTAATTGATTATTGACCTGACGTTCTTAAAATCGTCGTATTAAAATGTTTTCTTGCATTTCTTGTATTTTACTTGGATTATAAAAGAGCTTTAGGAATTAGAACATTTAATGTCCAGTTTTCTTTTTTAATTATATCAGTTTGATATAAAAGTTTCAACATATTGAAAAGAGTCACGGAACGGGTTATCTGCACGCTATGAGAATTTGGCAGGAACTTTGAATTTTATGATAAAAAATATATTATGTTCTTCGATAAGGAAGAAAGGATTCTTGTCAAATATAACGACTTATACATTTTGCGTTGGGAGTTCAAAATCTAGAGCGCTAAAGCTCGTATAACATACACTGAAATCAAAATAGCACTAAAAAACTGTTATACCCTGTTTTCTCATTTTGATTGGGTTCAGCGTATATAAATACTCATTAATTGGCTTTATTTTCCTTTATATAATTAATAACGAATTTTTTAAAAACATGAAAAAATACTTGTGCTTTGTGCTCTACTTACACGCCGTGCGAGACCATAGCAATAGAGATAAGTTATGTTTATTTAAAGGACGACTGCTTCTGTTTGATAAGATATTTAAATGAAAGGAGTCATTCTACGGACGACGAGCAGTTCTGCAAGATTCGTTGTAGCTCAAACGTTATATTTTGATTGTCCTTTCTGCCGCGTTAGTTATTCCTTATTTATTTATTTACTTTCAGAAATCAAGTTCAAATATAAGTAACTATTTTCTATGGCGGGACAACATCTCCTCTTTATCTTTATTGTTATGTATAGTAGACTATGTATATATATATATATATATATATATATTAATCTTTTTCATTTTGTTCCGAAAGTCTTTTCTTAAGTTTTTGCAGACATTTTCGCCTTCACTTAAAATCCACTTTCTAGATATGTTCATGTATTAAGGTAGCTACTTTTTACTATATGCATATGAACAATCAAATATATTGCTAACTTTAAGAAAAGCTGTAATATTGTCACACTGGCCAATGAGTAAAAATTATATAAGCTCTGTCCACTATCCTAGAGCCGTATGCCGACGTGAATCAGCTATTTTGTAGCAGCCGCAACGGCAGATTCTTCCACGTACTCCGCATCCTACTGCACATCATCATCATTGCCATTGATGGCGCCATTTTGGTTTTTGTTTTTGTTTTTGTTTTCGTTTTTATGTGACCACCAAGCCAATCTGTGTGAGTGTGAGTTGACTCTGTTCCTGCCGGTGCTTGTAATGCGAGCTGACAAAGTTTGTCTGCAGTTATAAGCACTTGCTGTGTGAGTGTGTGCGTGGGTCTGGTTCACCGTGTGAATCGATTTGACTGTGTGCGAGTGTGTGTGTTTACTGTCGGAATTTGTAATGAGAGTGAGCTGTTCATTTGCTTTAGGGTCGCCAAGTGGCCGACGTCTATTTGACTTTCCCTCCCTCGTTCTTCTTGCTGCTTGACTATATATGGATGTGACCATGCGAGTACATACATACAGCTTTACTTACAATGTACACGATGTTAGGATATTGCTGGCCTGTCTTTTTAAAAGGCAAACACATACTTATACCCTAACCTATTCGAACGAGTTTATGGGATCATAATAGCCACAAATTTTCTTGCGAACGATGACAAAGTGTTTTT